GAGGTTCCTCCAAGTACTCGTCCTCTGTAATTCCTCACACCATCACTTGGGGTGAACTGTTGTGCAACAGATGAAAACTCATCTGCCTGAATCAATGGATAGCCATAGTATTCTCTATCCAAAAAGGGATTGCCATAAGGTGAACCACCTCGTTCCACCACCAACACAGAGAATTTCTCAGATAGAGTTGCAGCAAGAGGGCAGCCAAGAGTGCCTCCACCCACAACAATGTAATCAAAGGATTTACCTGAAACTTCTTCTACATTTGAGGTCATGTAGGGAAGTTCTCCTAAAATTAGAAAGGTGATTGAAGTCATTATAATGAACATCCAAATAAAAATCTGAATATAAAGAGATCATGCATAATTTGGATGATAGCATACCTTGAGTTGATGGAGGAGAATACTCAGTACATTCAAAGGAGTCGATAAACAAGAAAACGGATGCTACAAGAAGGCCTAGACCAAGAATGCTTCCTTGAGACATTGTCTTTGGCACCCTCAATTTCTGTTAACTCGAAGCTTAAGGAGAGAGAAGGAGACAGCATTATATATATGTTGAAGTTATGAAACGATCTTCAATTATGGGGATAAGCAATTACAATGCAAGAACCATCATACTTAATGAGATGGCATTAATTTAAATTACTAAAGGATTAGATACATACTTGTTTCATGATGGGTTAATCATAGAAAAGAAAATTGAGAGCCATAACAAAAATCATAAGAGACTTGAAAAATTCTACCATGCAACTCTGATGCAGCCATAGTTATTATGATTATTAAAGCCAAACAAGAAAAAACCAATAAAGCCAAACAAGAAACAAGAAACTCCCAAAACCCTTCTGAAGCCAACATTGTAGAAAAGTTTGAAACAATAAAGCGAAAAAAAAAACCAGAGAGAAAATCATCCACAGAAACTGCATAACAATCTAAACAAAAACCATATGCAAGTTAAATCACATTAAAAATGGCTGAAGAAACATACCTTTTCTTCGAGTTTTCGTCTCCAGTCTGCACCCTTTGGCTTTTATAGTGAGGTTTCTTTGATCTTATCCCTAAGATTGTGTGGCCTTGGGAGGCAGATTGAAGCAAGTTTTTTCTTGGGGATTACTTTCGACTTTGGACACTTGGATTGATATCATTCTGTACTGTTACTATCAAGACTTTTGCTTAGCCTCCTCGTTTTTGCTTTTTCATTCTCCT